TCTATAAATCCCCGGCCATGACAGCAGCGACCCAATGGGATAAAGGTGGCACGGAAAAGGGTAATCATCTGTAGAGGGTTGCCTATCAACGTGTCAAATTGATTTCGGCTCGTTATGTGGTCAATTGGGTACATTTTTCGGTCAGAATTGTAAACCTGAAATTGGCCAATCGTGCGTTTCAAATTAATGTTTGTTCGGGATTTTGTTTCACTTCCTTTTTTGCGTTATTATTTTTTGTATGTATCATACGTTATGTTTTTTGCAAACAAGCCATAAACCCTTTTATACTTCAACAGGATGTGCCGCCTGATGCCGAGTTATGTGGTGCAAATGCAGTGGGTGTTTTAGGGTGGCTATCGTTTTATTGGTCATTCAATCAATATTCTATTAGTTTGGCTTGTCATTCACTGACACCGACATGGGTTATTGATATTGATATGGAAACTACTTGTTGGAAATGTAGGAAAGGAAACTCTCCTTCATCTTCTGAAGTTGTAAATCTAATCAAACAATTTGTATATGATTCTAATTTTATTTGAAGCTACATTTCGCATTTCCATTTTCACATTTTGAACACTTTATTAGCCACAAATTGTATGTGCAGTTATTCAATGTAATTTTATATCATAATGTTATACTATTTACGAGATATGGGATAGTATCATACATAGTATGTACATATGTATGGCTGCCTCCTATACAACACCACCAAGGCAGACTTGTCATATTTATACCCGGTACTCGAAGAGTAAAGAGAAGGGACGCGTGACATGCTATTAACGCGTGAAAACTTTTATAGCCGGTACTCAGTAGTACAGCTGTACCTTAGTGGTTTTTTTTTTAATTTTACCTTTTACATTTTTCATCAAATACACTTCTAACAGTGTGAGCATACAGAATTTTGGAAGCAAAACTTGGTTGCATTCATAAGGCCGGACAGACGGACGGACGGACAGACAGATTTGGCTATATCGACTCGGCTATTGATGCTGATCAAGAATATATATACTTTATGGGGTTGGAAACGTTTTCTTCTGTGCGTTACATACATTCGATTTTCCCCACAAATGCAATTTACCGAAGAGTAAATCTTCGAGTACCGGGTGTGAAAAGGGTATATGGTATTTGTGGTCGGCCCCATTAAGTATACATATATATTCTTTATCAGCATCATAGCCGAGTCTTTGTCTGTCTATCCGGACGTCTTGATGAGCGCCTGGATATCAGAGACTATGTAGGTGTAGATAAGAGATTTAATATTTAAAATGTAAAATTCGAAAAACCATCAGTTTAAATACATATGTATCATACTAAGATTACATAAACACATACGTACATATGAAATAATATGTAGATGTGTATGTATGTACATACATACTGACTAAGTAACGGGTATAAAAGTTGTGAAGAAGCGTCTCACAAACGTTCTTACTCGATTTTATTGCATATACACTCTCCGCTTTCACGTTAGGTACGAAGATGTCGCCTTTGATTGCATTCCAATTTGTTTACATTTTCGGGCTATTCACAAGAGAAAGAGTGAAAGAGAAGAGGAAACAGAAGGGGCGAAACTGTAGCAAGGGATAAATAGGACGTGCATGGCATATCAAAATTCGAAAATGCCCTACACATGTTTCAATCATTTTCCATTTTTATTTATTGTCAGCATTTATTCAGCTGACACTTTTCTATCTTTACTTCCGTTTCCACCCTTAGATCTGGTCGGCATTTTTTGTTTATTTGTGCTTACAAAACAATTTGCAAATTGCCTCAAATCGCCTGATGCCAAATGCAAGTTTTCCAATGAACTAAAAAGTAATTTTATCTGCAGAATGCTTTTTGACGCAGTAATTAAAGAAAATTTATGACAACTTTTAATCAGCTTGGAACAGTGGCAGCTGCAGTAGACTCATTTCTTAACAGGACTCAATAATTTTCGATCCGGGAGCTGGGCATGATGTTTGTTGATAAAATAAAGTGGGGCTGTTGATTTTGGAGGTATAAAGAACATCGAAAACGTATTTCTATACGTATAAGAATAATTTTCCTAGAAGGGATCATTTGAAGTTCCTCAAGAAATTAATATTTCGAAATGAATATTAAAGCACAGAAGGAAACGTTTCCGACCCCATAAAGGATATATTCTTGATCAGCATCAATAGCCTAGTCAATATCTGTCTGTCCGTCTGTCCGTCCGTCCGTTAGTCTTGTTTGTCAGCTAATTCCCAGAGACTATAAGGTATAGCCACCGAATTTTTGCCTCCAGACTGATGGGATATCACACTGATACAACTGTATTTAAAAAACTAGTCCCACTTCCTTCCTTCCATTGTATCCACAATTTTGAAGATAAGAGAAAACTAAAAATGCCATATCCAACATAAAAAATACCATATCTATCAGATCACCGAATTAAGATCCGATTGGATCATTATTATAGCCAAAATGAAGAAATTAATTTTCTGTGGCACCCATTCCAACAATTTCTTGTTTTTTGCACATTCTCTCATTCCACACTCTGCTTCGTGCCTTGTGCGGCTCAATAAAAGTTGCGAAGCGTAAAATCGTCTCACACGTCCCTCCTCGTTTGGCATTCGTACAGGGTAGCGAATTGGCACATCTGCCAATCGATGGGTAGCGCTAGTTCGCAAGGACTGATCTGTCCACTTTCTGGCTCCTAACCATTTGCCACTTCCTCATCCGTTAACAATCCAGTCAACTTCTCTCCTCTGACCATTTCTGTCGATTTTCACATACGTTTCGGCGCTCCAATTCGATTAGAAAATCCCTATTGCAATCTTACTTTTTGATTTAACCCCACACTTCTCTTTCTTTCTTTCCCATCCTTCCCTAATCCTCTTGATTTCAATTAAACTGAGTTTCCCTTTGCGCTGACGCTTTTCGACCAATGCACTATGGGTAAAAAGCCCAAGTTTTTGGCAACCCCTGATTCCTGAAACAGTTCGGAGTACCCTCATTTTTGTGCGGGGAACATTGAACAACTTGCAGGTTAAATGTTAGCTCGATACTGGAGGTCTGGAGCAACAGCAATCGAGAAGCAGACACAATAAAATGTTGTATGGTAGAATGTATTGACGGAAATTGTCTAACTGCAGGCAAAACTATTGAAATTTCAAAGAAAATTATCAAATTTATTGCTTTGGTAACAAGACCAAGCGAAATGCAATCCCACGTTGGAGCGACTTCAATCGTATTACATTTAACCAATCAATCAATCAAACATATTTTTTTAAAGTTCAAAAATGGATAAGGAATCTTTAATCATACTTAAGTTTTTAAATATATATTCTTTATAAAAAATCTGACATGAATGGGTTTCAGTTTGTATGGAAGGCGTGGTCAAAAATACTAAGAACCAGCCCCACCGCCATCTCTTCCGATACTCTCTCCACTCTTTCCGTACAGTCTCCTTTTGTTTATTTGCTTGTTTTTCTTCTGTCGACTGCTGACTGCTTCTTGCCATATAATTGTTTCCCTTCATTTTTCATTTTGCGCTTGCTTTCCCCCGCCTGAGCTACTATACTTGACCACTTGCATTTTATGGGGACGCAGAAAAGCTGTTTCCCCTTCAAAGTGGGGAGCCGAAATCTTCGTTGACCCTGGTGTGGGGAAAGCCATGTTGTTGATGATATTAAGATGGTGTTGGTGGGCCTGTGCAATGGTACAGGTACAGTGGCCACAAAGCTTTTGCTCTCTTGTCAAAAACTAGAAAGTTGTATAAGGACTGTTTCAGGAGTTGATATGTATCTTAACAAATTTTGGCATCCACAAGAACGTTTTTTGTCTACCGTTTTCTTAGCTCTCTCAGCTATTTTCCATGATTCCATCTATTAGTTATACCAGATCTCTTACTTCTTTCTCTTTGCTTACTATAGGAACCACTGTATTTCATTCTTAGTCCATTCAACTGCACAGTCTTTTACTCCACTGTTTCAAGCACTCCCCCGCAAACGATCCAAAAATCGCAGCCAATCGGGAGCTTTCCAATCACCAATCAAGACACACAAATAAAAAGCAATGCGCTGCTTGTTTAAAGCAAAGAAAATTGCCATTGTAAAGAAAATAAAATATATAAGAAATGAAAGAAAATCAAAAAAGTACCAAATTGAGAGAACAAGGAGGAATTTAACACAAAAGAGCAAAGAACAAAGTTTTTCAAAAGCGATAAAAACGAAATGTCGCATATTTTTATGACATTTTCCACTACTGCAAGCTGAGAGAACGAAAACATGGAAAGGTGAGAGAAGGGAGGTTTTCGAATCCGACAGAAAAAAACCCCTCCCAAAATATTCGCAAATTTAATTTGTAAAACAGGAAGCAGAGAAAAAAAATCACAAATAAAACGAGGAGGAACGTTGTGAAGCGCTTTGTACGCGTCCCAACTTTTGTACATTCATATGTAATCTTTTATTTTGAATTTTACATTTTACAATATTGCTACATTTTTCATCTACATCAATGTACCATATGTGTTCTCTCACCAATGCGTCCTATTAGCTCGCCTCCCTCCCCCTGAGCCATATGCGGCAGAGTGTGCTAGCGAGATAGTGGTGAGGGTAGCACTGGACATGAATTTAGTCAGTCTGGCTTTAATAATGATCCAATATGATTCTTATTCGCTGATCTGATCAATAGTTTTCTCTTAGCTTTAATATTGTGGATATAGCTGATTTTCGCTATTTGCGGGAGCGGAACAGTGTGATTTCAGAGCAGTCTGGATGCAAAATATGGTAACTATAGCTCTTATGGTCACTGAGTACTAGGCGGTCATCGGGACGGGCGGACGAACGGACAGACGGACATGGCTATATCGACTCGGCTGTTGATACTGATCAAGAATATACATAAATACTTTAAAGGGTCGGAAACGTTTTTTTCGGTGCGTTACGCATATTTCTCCCACCACAAATACAATATACCCATTTAAAAATGCATCATGGTCATATTTTTTACTTTTACTTTTCCAGTGTCAGTGAAGATCTCTACAAAATTAAATTAGTTTTACCTATATTTAGACATGGCCAGTAATCGTACTCGTCATTATTCTATAGATGCTCAGTAATCACATAACATCAGTTGGAGGGTCTCATTCACTCTGTTCTTGGTAAAAGCCTCGGAGATACCAACCAGAGTTTCCTGGCTCGGCTTCTTCTCCGCTGTGTATGTGTTGATCAGCTCTTCAAAGGCAAAGGATCAATTCAAACTTATAATACAATAGCTGACAATCATAGGAAAACTCACCCACATGGGACTTCGTAGCTTTCAAATAGTGGCATATGTAGATGACCACGTACTGCTTGTGGTCCGTGCCCAATATGACATTCCGATTCTTGGGAGGCCAGGCTATAGCTAGGCAGAGATTGACTGGAGTAGGGGGTTTGTTGGCCTCCTGCTCACCAAACACATCCAGATACATGGATCGATGAATCATAATGCCCTTGTTTTTGCTCTTCGTAATCATAATTTCGATTATTTGGAGAAAATATATGTACGTGAGTGTTTTTAAATGAACATCGGCTATTGTATGTTTTAGCTGTCGACAGGGTCCTGGCTGTGGAGCATAAACCCCAGTAGATGCAAACATGGCCACGATACCTAATACAAGGAAGCTTAACGAAATGCATCGTTTGGTAACTTTTGCTTGTATCATTGTTTTTTTCCAACTGTAGAATTCTTCCGTGTGTTTTTATCTACTTGTATGCAAGCGAAACAAATGAAGTTTTCCCAGCAATTATACTAATCATACTAATCATAATACAGTGTTTATACCGCACACAATCCGCATATTGCACAAATTTACCAGTCCTCTTAAAAGGTTTCAAAAGTCTTGGTATACTTAATGCTTGAAACCCTAGCATTTCTTGTTATTCTTTTGACACAGAGCTTCACACAGAACGTGAGCTGACTAATACACCATTGAAGCACCAGTGTTAGAAATCAAAAGATCTACGAGCAATGATGGAGAATCGGGAGAGCCATATCCATACATTTCCCACAGGACATCATTCGGAGCAGAAAATAAGCTGACTGTTGGTATTGCCTTCGGCTACTGATTGATTTTTCAGATAATCATTTAAAGTCAAAATTGAGTTTTAGTGATGCTAAAGATATACAAAAACTAATAGGCACGCTTGTGAGAAACGCTTGTTTTATACCCGGTACTCAGTCAGTATATATGTACATATGTACAAAAATAAGTATGTATATAACCCAGTGTGATTTTTTCAAACTGTACATTTTACATTTTACATTGTTCCGACATCTGTCATCTACATCACTTCTCACACCAACACGCCCTTTAAGCTCGTCACCCTTCCCCAGATCAGCAGACTGTATGAGGCAGAGTGTTCGAGCGAGAAAGAATGACTACAATGAAAAGCAAGTATAAGCAAAGCTGCTGGAAGGGGTGCTTGGAAGCCACTGCAAATGAATCGTCATTTTGGATCTATAAATTAAATAAATAAAATACAACTTAAGTAATTAGGGTTTACCATCAAATAATCTAGTTAATTTCAAACAGGTACTCTGCCACTTAATCATAAATAAAAACCTTCTCCTAACGTCTCTAATTTATTAACTTTTACCCAAATAGATGTATATGTACATACATACATAGATATGTACATTAGGGTCTTCACTCAAATACTCGTGTAGGGGAGAGGCAGCGCCTCGGCAGAGACTTTTCCTTTGCACAAAAAAAAGGACCGTGCCGAGCATCGATGTACATATGTGTGTATGTATGCACATATATCATTATCATTATGGCTTTCATTGCCGCTTTGGCGCTTGAGGTCTACGAAACTTTGCCAACTATTGAAAGCTCTTTGACTTGGAATAATTCATAGCCAGAAAGATAGTTCCCTCAGCCAGAGCCAGACCACCTCAACACACAAATCATAATTTTAATGTTTTATAGAGATAAAGTAATGCGGCTTGTCTCGCTTGCTCCCTAAATGGATTTACCCAAACATTTGCCAAGTTTATGAAAAATAATCCCAAAGAAAATGTGGGAAACTGGAGAAAGGGGGAGGTGGAACATTAAAGATATGTATGCACATACATACATCATGTACATACATTTTTAGACGTGTGTGGCCAGCAATAAAGTGCTTTTGAAAACATCCCAACGAGCTCAAAAGTTTTTGGCAAAGCTTTTAACAAAGGATGGGGGATGGCTATTCCCAATATTGTGTTTCTATTTGTTGTTGAGGGAAACATGTTTTTCTTAAGCAATAATAATAATTTGGAGGTCAATTTGTAATTGTTCCCAATGGGCTCGTTGGGAAAAGGAAGATCTTAAGCATCTTGATATGTACTGCTTAAGGGGGTATACTCGTGCTCGCAGAATGATATTCCGAGTATTTCAGATTAGCCGGGACAATCCTTTCCAGCATTAAAGCTTGTATGCCTTAAAACATTACCAACTATTGCCATTTGCTGTTTACCATTTACCATTAACTTTATATACATACATATGTATGTATGTACAAATATGGAATTCGTTTTTTCTTCACCTTAAATCGTAAAATTCTTTATTCGAGTTTTTCATTTCTTAAGGAACACACCAGCCGACTTTCATTAATCATTGAGCGAATGCATTGAGATTTCCACAGATTTTCGTAGTGTCTGCCTTTTAAGTATATTCATTAAAATAAAGCTAAATTAATTTTTATATATGCCTTTTGGATGAGTGTCAGGTGGGAAGGGTGGATAGAAGGGTTTAAGGGTGGAATTCGTTTTTATTGCCTCGTGTACGGCCCTTGTCTCTTTTATTTTGGTGGCGCCAACTTTCATGCTCAATTAAAACGTTTGTTTAATGGAAACAAATGCGCTTAATTAATAAACACGCATTTTGTGGTTCTCCGGTTATGGGTGTTATGGGAAGCCAGGAGCGGGCTGTATAAAGTGGGATATCCTTTCGGTATTGCAGAAAAATTGAAAACTGTCGCAGCTGTTTATATCGCGGTTGTTCGTTATAATTGTTGTCGCTGGTTTTCCATGTTTAATTACAATGGGTGATAGTTTCCTCTTCTGTTTGTTACAATGGCCCCATACTTGGCTTCTCATGGGGAGGGTAGTAATAATTAAATAGCTGCAATAGCGGACGGTAGAAGCCGCCACTTTGGCAAATAAATTTAAAAAAACGTTTAAATGTTTTCTGAAAATGCATAGCATACTTTTGGGAGGTTTACGTGTGGTCGGAATGTAGAAATCGTGTAGTATTTCGATATGCGGCTTAAACCGATTCGAGAATCGTATAAGAAAGTTGCTCTCTTAAAAACATCTTAAACGAGAAGGGACGTGTGAGACGCTTCTTACTCGTCACAACTTTTAACCGCGCACTCAATACTACATCTGCACCTTAGCGGTGTTTTGTCAAATTTTAAATATTTTCTTCATCTGTCATCTACATCTACAGCACTTCTCACACCAACACGCTCCTTTAGCTCGCCGCCCTTCCCTAGACCCACACACTGCAGACTCGCGGCAGAGGCAGAGGCAGCGCCCGCACACAAAAAATACAAATATAAGCTGCGGGACGGGGTGGGTTAAAAGTCGGCAGAGGCAGGCCGAGTGAAGCAGAAGCAGAGTGTGAATGAGAGAATGTGAAAAAAACAACAAAAGCTGCGGGACAGGGTGGGTTTAGCCACTGCAAATTAAACTCTTCATTCCGGCTATAATAATGATCCAATTTGGTGATCTGATAGATATAGGTCCTCTATCTTCAAAATTGTAGGTTTGGGAGGTTTTAGCTCTTTTGCGGGGGCGGGGCTCACTTTTGAAATGCACTTGAAACAGTGTAATCACGCAGAAGGTTGGATGCAAAATTTGGTGGCTCCAGCTTTTATGGTCTCTGAAATCCAGGCGCTCAACAAGACGGACGGACAGACGGACGGACAGACGGACGGACAGACGGACGGACAGACGGACAGACAGACATGGCTCAATCGACTCGGCTATTGATGCTGATCAATAATATATATCCTTTATGGGGTCGGATACGTTTCCTTCCGTGAGTTACATACATTCACTTTGTGAACAAATACAATATACCCCATTTACTTTTCGAGGACCGGGTATAAGAAAGGAATTTAGCAAATTTACAATCGTGATAGACCGAGCTCGTACTAAATAACAGTTTGTGTACTTTTGTCTGTCCTTTCCTCTGACCGTCCCAACGGGATGTTGGGATAGTTATGTTCCAAGTGCGTTTAGAAATTTCGGCCCGTCCTTTCCAAAATCAAAAATTACTTGAAATGTTCATATGTTACTGCTAGAATGTCGAATCTGCAAAAGAGCAAGATTGGAACCAACAAAGCAATACCTTACTCCCTCTCACACACTTTTCCTCGAGCACTGCGTAACCCTAGCGGAAAGAAGCGAGATACATATGTACATACATTTATGTATGTAAATAGAGAGAGATACATTTGTCATTTGTAGCGGCATAAGAACCACTAGCGGACAAATATAATCAGGTACAATATTTTAAATATACATATGTTGTTATATATGTATATTCATACATATCTACATAAGTAGGAGTCGATTAGGTTGACTAGTGATAATATTATGGGTTTTCACATCACTTCAGAAAACTGTGCTCAAAATTGATAGACATTTTTTATAGATCTGCCCCCTTGTAAACTAAAATATAGAGAAAGAGAGAATAGGCTAGTTTGTTACAATTATTGCAACGCAGGCAAAGTCGCATTTTAGGTATACTTTGAATGTCTAGGGAAAAACTATAAGGGTGCTCGATTTACCTTTGCATATGGGTAGGCCACATCTGACACCAATTCGTAGTTGTCTATAGTTTCAGTTGACGGCGCTATTTTTATACCCGGTACTCGAAGAGCAAAAAGTGTATATTGTATTTGTGCACAAATGTGGATGTATGTACATATGTAACGCACTGAAGGACGCGTTTCGGACCCCATAAAGTATATAAATATGTATATTCTTGATCATAGCATCAATAGCCGAGTCGATATAGTGTCCGTCCATCAGCTCGTCTGTCCGTCTGTACGTCTCTATGAGTGCCTAGTACTCAAAGACCCTAAGAGATTGGGCAACCAAGTTTTGCATCCGGACTTCTGTATGCTCACACTGTTACAAAATGTATTTCAAAATTTCTCGGCGCCCCCTTCCGACTGTTGTATTCACAATTTTGAAGATAAGCAAAAACTAAAAATGCCGTCCTTCTGAGTACCGGGTATAAAAGTTTTGACGCGTAAGAATCGTCTCACACGTCCCTCCACGTTTCTACTTAACTTTTAAAAAATTTCGCACCTGGAGGTTTTGATTTAAATTTCGACATTCGCTTTCCAAAAATCATACACGTGTTGTTGGCCAACAGTGCGTATGTTTTATTGATTGTGACTTGTAGGAACAGATTATCAATTGTGCTATTAGAATTTAAAAGCGTTAGATAATCATTCAAAAATTGTATTTAAAATCAAGGCTCCAGGCTCTCAAAGAAGGTACTACCATGGAGAAACCTTCAGGTCTTTTGAAGATGAAGAACACACACAAAATAGCGAAAAGAAAGAAAAACGAAAAATTATTTCTTATGTTTAAAATTCGACCGAAGATCCAACATTGTTTCGTCTTATTTAATAATTAAACAATCATTGTTC